TGATGAGCACACACACTTAGACTACATAGCCATGTTTCCAGTTAAACTCCTGTTTTTAATATCATACCCACCTCTACCTAAAGTTCTCAAAGCCCAATCTCAAACTGATCTTTTAAACAATAAGACTCATAAAGGAGAAGGGTCTAGATCTGTCATGTAGAGCTCACCAAATGCTGAACTAATAAGCCATGAGTCAGAGCTGGGTCTGCAGCCTGAGTAGAGTCATTCACAGAGTGAGGGGTAAGACAAGGAGGCTCAGACCCCAGGCAGGAAGCTGGGACAGGTTCATAGTGAGAAAGAAATGGTGGGTGGGGTATGAGAGAGAATGAATGAGACCCAGGATACCAAGACCCTTGCAGAGGTGGGAGTGAGGGAGGCTACTGTAGCTGAGCCAACCTGCTTCTGGCTCAGAGCTTCTCTATCCCAGAGGCTGTGGACCAAGTGAGCAGGTAAGTGGGTTGCAGGTGGGAGTGAGCCAACAAGAGGTCGTGGGGAAGATACAACCTTATGGTAGTCTCTTATGGTAGTTTGGGTAGTTGTCAGAAGAGAGGTTGGGAGGGTTTTTTCTCAGCTTGCGGTGAGTGAGGAATTTTTCCATCAGGGGATATTTGCCTGTGGCTCTCCATGATCTGCAGGGTATTAGTCTGGGAAACTCACAGTACACTAGGCAAGATTCTGGGTTGTTTTTGTTTTTGTTTTTTGAGACAGTCTCGCCCCGTTGCCAGGCACCAGGCTGGAGTGCAGTGGCATGATCTCAGCTCACTGCAACCTCTGCCTCCTGGGTTCAAGCAACTCTCCTGCCTCAGCCCCCTGAGAGCTGGGACTACAGGTGCCCACCACCACACCCAGCTAATTTTTGTATTTTTAGTAGCGACGTGGTTTCACCATGTTGGCCAGGATGGTCTCGATCTCTTGACCTCATGATTCACCCGCCTTGGCCTCTCAAAGTGCTGGGATTACAGGTGTGAGCCACCATGCCCAGCAGGATTCTGGTTTTACTTATTCTTCCCTTCATCTCCTTGGCCTTGCATCTGTCACCCCATCACTCCCTTTTCACATAAGGATATCCAGACCTGAGGATCATCTGGCTAAGACATTAGTTTGGCTCACCCTGGGCCGGGCACTCTAGACTGGGTGTTACCTTCCTTTTCCATCACTTGATGTTCCTGATCTTTCCTAAAACACTGTGTACTGTTGAGGAAAATGGCCTTTCCATGTGAACCTCAGAGCTTCTTTCTAGAATGTTTTTTTGCACTAAATAAACAGAGGGATTCTAGGGGCCTGGGTCGAAGCTACAGAACAGAGGGACCAGAAACTCAGGCCTTGATGAAGGGCCTCCCTAGATGTCTGAAAACAGATTGAGTTCAGTCAAATACATGGTTTTGGCTGCATTTGGAGTCCCTTATTGGCCTCTCTTTGACTTAATATCACTTCTCTGCTTCTGGTAATCTGTCCGACTCCCAATCATTCTCTCTCTCAAACACACATACACACACACACATGCACACACACATCCTCACTGTCTACGTGGGTCCTCTGCCCCTTGATCCTGCCATGACTTCAGGCCCACACCGCTCATACCCTGTCTTCAAGAGTAGAATGAAAATTTAGGGCAGATAGACTAACTTGAACTGAAGATTGATGAAGTCTCAGGTGTAGAGTCCTTGAGAGAGGCTTACTTATTATGAGTTCATTCAGGCAGGAGAGGGAGCGTATACAGTCTGTTGGGACCAAGAGGCCAAAAGTGAAGCAAAGATAAATCACAGACAAGAGACTTGGAATAAAGAAACGTGTAATCCAGGTGAGGCAGATGAAGATGCCTGGAGGCAAACGTGGTCCAGGTAGTTCAGCTGTAGCCTGGAGGCATATTGTATTAGGTTTAGATCATTGTAGATATTGGTGTAGGTCTGTTTGTAGTTTTTTATTTTTTACAGCACAACCATGGATTCTGAATAATAACCTTGCAGCTTCCCATTGCAGACTACAGGGCCACCAGAATCATCTGACCGAAAGGTGAGCAAAGGCCAGAAATCAAATCATGCTGTCATGACCCTGGACCTGGTGGCTTTAGCTACTCATTTTTTCCAACAAGGAAGCCCAGAGGATCAGAACTCCTGGGTTCTAGAGAGGAATACAATGGTCTGGCAGTTACTATCAGAGGAGCCTTTTCTGACAAACACCACAAACATTCTTCTGTTTCTCTCTATCAGTCTTCCCCTTGCCTCACTGCTGATTTTCCACATGCCTTGCGGTAAATGCTCTCTGCCGGACTAGCACAGCAATTTAACCATTGGGGTGGATGAGATCTTGAATGCAGGGTCTGCTACTTGCAAGTTCTGGGGAAGTCTCTTAATTTCCCTGAACCTCAGTTTCTGTGTCTGTAAAACAGACAGTAACCCTGTTCATCTTAAGGGATAGAGTCCTTTCAGATGGAAGGCATGGCATCAGTCACAGGTGCTGGTCTCCTCTTTGCTCTCTCACGTGTTGTGGGTGACATCTACCTGGCTCCAGAGGACAAAAAAAATTACACATACACACACACACACACACACACACGTACACAATCCTCACTGCAAGCTGAGAAAACAACCCTCCCAGCCTCTCTCCTGACACCTACTCCATGTCCAGAGGAAATGGAGCCAGGTAGATGTTGGAGAGTAGGTCTGAGTTTCCTGGGTACCCAGAAGCCCTGGGGACATTTGAATACTTCTGTGTTCCCTCTTCCTTCAGGAAGCACACCTCAGTTAGAGAGCACCATCACTGAGAGACCCTTGGTCAGGGCCACCAAGATGCTGTTAAACATGGAGGAGATGGCGGGATAAAGAGGCCCTGAGCCCCCCGCTCCTAAAGGAAAGTAGAAGCCCTCTGCTGGCAGATCTTACAAGGACAGCAGCTCTGTGGCTGGAGTGTTGAAAGGCACAGTGTTGAAGGCTCTGATGTGTTCCCTTCACCCAAGTCTCAGAAAGCTCCCTGGAAAATTTGAAGATGCAATACTGCTCAGTTAGACCAAGAACTATGCTTTGATACCATCTTCTAGACCCTTAGTTCTATGGTGATCAAACTAGCCCTCCTAGACTAGCGCACTGTAGGGGCTGAAAGAGTGCTTTTTGATTGAATCAATGATATTGTCTCCCTGTTATTCGGACAGGAAGTATTGATCTATGTGATGTAAGTCTTCTGTCTTCAGGCTGATAAAAATTATATTATATATATACACACACATATATATAAGCACACACTCCTCACTACAAGCTGAGAAAAAACCCTCCCAGCCTCTCTCCTGACAACTACCTAAACTACCACAAGAGACAGAGGTATCTTTCCCGTGACCTCTCACCGGCTCACTCCAACCTGCATCCCTCTTACCTGCTTACTTGGTCCACAGCCTCTTATGCTTGTACATAACTCAGTTTACTCGATACCCCTTGGTCTACTCCCTTAATTTATTATCCCTCTCTGTTTTGTCTCTCACATCAGATTGTAGGTTCTCAATGACAGATAGACTGAAGTTCTCTTGTGATTCTAGGGTGGTCGACTTGTGATCCTGCCTAGTTCTCAGATTGGAGGGCATGATGTCCTGCACCTCTGTCATATGAGGGGACATAGTTAATTGAGGAATGGAAATAATTTTTCCCAGAAGAGTGAGAGTATTTCAAGCCTATAGAACTGTTTTTCTCCTCTATGTAGCATTCTGCTCTGTATACGTTCATTAGTATGGACTGCTTCTCCTTCCTACACTCCACTCACTCCTTTACCAACCGTCTACCATCCAAACTCATAGTTCTCATTCAAAGTGTCACCCCATCCCTGTCCCTCGTGGGTACAGTTAGGGGGCAGTCTCATGGGAATTACGTGCCTATTGAGGGGCACTGAGCTGGATTGTTTAATAGATGTGATGTTTCTGTTTATAGATGAGCAGCTGCAAGTTGGGATGCAGAACAAACCTGGCCACCAGAAGGAGCTTCCCTAATGCAACACTTAGTGTCCCTTAGTGTCTGTCCCCTCCACTCATACCTGGTGTCTACTGAAGGAGAAGGGTGTATATCAGGAATCCCATTTTTTTAGGACCCTATTCTTCTGATCTCCTTTGGGGCTTATTCTCAGTTAATATGCTTTTTATCTTTATACAACTACATATAACACAATGGTTTGTATACTTTGGGAAAGATTACTCTGTTTTTAGTTATTATCTGAAGTCTTAACCTAGCCAGAGCTCTCTGAGGCTGATCTCCCGAGACAGAGGATTATGTCTTACTGATTACTGCAAGCTTTATTAGTCCCCAAACTAAAGCAACTGTGAAAGCTTCATCTTCACATACTTTATTAACTGAAATTTTAGTCTGGGGAGAAAAATGGTTTGGAGGTCATTTTTCAGAGGAGCACCTTAGCCTCTAAAGATGTCTCCCAGCTGGAGCTGGTGCTAAGATTTCAATACAATAGTAATATTGCATAAGGCCAGCTGATCCTAGTTAGTGAAACATGGCAGGGTTACTGGATTCAATGAGCATAAGCACCATCCATAAGACTCCACGAGCACTGTGAGGTGACCTTCTAGGTTAAAGAATGCATCCTTTTTTTGTGTGGAATGCATAAGGCATTCAGTCATATGGACAAGGAGAAGCTAAGTGTGACACCTCCCTCTTTCCTTTGCCCTCTTCTACACTTCTATTTAAATCACTCTTTATTAGACTTCCTTTTTTCAATCATCATAGTAATGTGCCAAAATCACACATCGTCTAATTTGGTACATGTAGTAGAGGGTTTTATACCCCAAATGGCTGTGGAGTGGCCTTTTTAAAAAAATGTCAGTTATCAGTTCTTTAGACAGAACATAATTCCCACTTCAATTGTCTAAGGAATTTTGGGTTTTCCATCTTTACCTAGAAGGCAAGAAGGGTTGTTATGAATAATCACAGTGAAGATATGTACAAGTAAAACTGCTCAAGCACCCACTCCGTTTAGCAGAAATAAGACGGTATGCACGGGGCAGTCTAGTGAGTTAATTTATGTTTAATTCTGAAGCTGAACGATGGAAACAAGCTGCGTCACATGGTCCACAACTGCCACAGGAGCTCAGTTATTTTGGATTACATTTTCAATCCAGGGTATATAGTAAAAAATTTTGGCGTAGATGCCAACATCAGCTCTCAAAACACATCCATCCGCAAAGGACAGGATTCCTTGAAGCATCCCATTGCAGATTGCTGGGGCAGCAGAAACTTCCTGCCAGGAAAACAACAACAACAAAAAGCAGGTTATCTTTCTGGCAAGAGAGAAGGAAGACAACGGGAAAATTAAGGCATTGAGAGTATGTTACCTTGCAGGGCTGCCTCCTTCCTGGCACGATGCCCACACACAGCATACTTTCCTTGATGTTGTAGGTTTTATAGGCATTGCGGCACTGAGACTGGGAGATTATGGAGATGTTCACTGTTTGCAGTGAATCGGGCTCCTTGTCTAAATAAAAGAGAAGTCAGACTTCCTTAAGGGTTCTTTTAGGCATTAAACCTTCTTTTAAAAAACATTTCTTCTTCTACCATAAGAAATGAAAAGAGATCAAACATTTAGAGAAATCAGAACAGTGGCAGTTAGGACAACGAGAGCACAGGAGATGGTCAGATTAACAATTTCTCATGATGCAAATGTCTGTGACTTTATAAAAGTGATCAAATTCCTGGAAGTTATATGTAAATATGAGACATTCCTGCAATGAAATGAAACACTTTGTTTTAAACTTTTCTGGAAATTTGGCCCGGCGTGGTAGCTCAGGCCTGTAATTCCAGCACTTTCGGAGTCCGAGACGGGCAATCACCTGAGGTCAGGAGTTCAAGACCAGCTTGGCCAACATGGCAAAGCCCCATCTCTACTAAAAATACAAAAATTAGCTGGGCATGGTGGCATGCACCTGTAATCCCATCTACTTGGGAGGTAGGAGAATCGCTTGAACCCAGGAGGCAGAGGTTGCAGTGAGCCAACTCCTCACCACTGCACTCCAGCCGGGGTGACAAGAGTGAGACTCCATCTCAAAACAAAATGAAATAAAACATAAAACCTTTTCTGGAAATTTAAACATTCAAAGGGTTTCCTTTGAGATGTAATTTGTAGAATTTGAAGGGATTTAGAGGTCTTTAGCCTACTTTCTCATTTGTCAGGTCAAAACAAAACCAAGTATCTGCACCAAAAAAGTCACTCAAAAAGCAGTTTTCTTAAACACATAAAGCTAGTAAGTGGTAAAGCTAGGATTTAAAACTGGGTTTCCGAGTTCCTAATTAATATTCTTTTATCTATATCACAAAGGTCCACAAATACTTTGAATTGTGTACACTTATAACAACATTTGTCTAATCAGAAACAAAATGAGAAAAACAGCAAAGTAGTATGAACACATGTAGCACATGTTCTTTTCATGGAAGTTTCTTTGGGATGAAGTATTGTATTTTCAGATTTAGTCTTTTTTTATAATGGGGGAGTGTGTTTGATGTCTTTATTTGAAAATAATGTAAAAGTTATTAAAAGAAAATCTTTGAGATCCTTCACTTTATTTTCCAACCAATAATTTATGGCTAAACATTTCTTTTGAGAATACTTCTTTAGGAAATGCTTACTTAAGTATTTCATGAGCCAGACCCAAATGAGGTGCATTTTTTTGAAGTCATACCTCTTCTTGACCCACGTTCCATTACCCAGATGAGTCAATATACTGCTTACCAGAAGGACATTTGGCTGTTTTCAAAAATCAACTTGACTCTCAAAGGACAAATAATTTCTACTTCTTGATATATTCAAGAAAATGTGCTCTAAATCTGAAGGTATTTACTAAGAAGTAGTTTTAAAAGGCTTGAATCATGGCAACAATTATAGAATAAGGGTATATCTGCCCTTTGGCTTCTATAAAGAGAAAGTAGGGATGGATAGATAAATGTAATCTGACAGGCTTGTTTAAAGTAAATCTCCGATTCCTACTGTGGTATCTAGTGTATGATGTATATTATACATACTTGAACTTACTCATAAGTAAGGTTGCATTAACAATTCTTCATAAGGGATGATATTATTGTTCTATTTTGCTAATAGGTAATCAACTCCCCTTTGCCACTACTCTCTACTCTTGTAATAACAACTATAGATAATTAGGGTTTGCCTAAAAATTTGGAGTTGGGGTAATGGGCAATGGGGATGCAACTTAGAAAACAGAAAGCTGCCTTACATCGTGGGAGTTTTTTATGGAATATGATATATGAGGCACAGAAAAAAGCTTATGTAGAACATCTAGTTTAGGGGTTTCAAATTATGTATAGAAGACTTCCACTGATAAAAATAGTGGTAGCCCTTTGAGAGTTTTCTGGAGAAATGAATGAATGCTTAGAATGTTACCAGTTAAAGATGGTTATTTCAGAAATTCTTTTTAAAACTTCAACTGTGTATCTTTATTACAATCTTTCATAGGAAGTTCTATCTCATTTAGCACAATATTATGTATTTATCTTACATTTAATATACTGATATTTATTTCATGATTTTTCAAGGTTTCAAGTTTCTTCGTTGCCTGAAATGGTTTGAAAATATGCAACATAGTAGTCTGCTTTATTTCAGAGTTAAGGAAATTGAGGCTCCAAGGTAAAATGACCTGCTGTCACGTAGAAAATTAGGATTAGAATACAAATGTTTTCTTTCTACTAAAAGCACTTCTATTATATATGAAAGTCAAAATGATAAAAGGATACAGTGGGAGAGAAAGAAAACTTGAAGCACTCCTTCAGTGAAGTACAGGGAAAAGGAAAGAGGAGGAAGAGGATGAATAAAGAGGTTATAAGAAGGCTTCACTGGGCAGAATCGAGGAAGCCGAGACTAGTGACGGTATAAAAGCATATCTAATTCTGAGAGAAGAACTCACAGATATCACACACGTTGTAGCTCCAGGTGGAGACAGAACACATGGTATCTGCTGAGACAGTTTGGTAGGGCAGGTTGGCTAGTTTCACATAGTCATTGAGTTCAGCCTCTCTTTTCAGCTTGATTAACATGATGTCATGATCAATAGAAGTGATTGAGAAGTGTGGATGATGAATCATCTTCTCATAGCCAATCACTTGCAGATGCTTTTCACTGGAGTCTGCTGGGATTGTAACCCCCAATATCACCCGAAGCTTCCTGGAACAATATAGATGCTTATGAGAGGACTTAACAGAGATGGCTTCCCCATCCCTATGAGCCTCTATTATCCCTCCCCACAGACCTTTTTCTATACCCTTATATGTCTCCCAAAGGCTTTCCTAATTCCACTTAATTGGGAGATGGTCTCAGGCAGGGGTGAGGGTCTGTGCCCAACCTGAGAACCCGAAGAATGGAGTGCCTTCGAGGGCTTATTGAGGGCTTATTGCTCACGGTAAATTGCAGTGTGCAGCTGTGATCACCCAAAGAGGGTGGATCAGGACTCCAGTGCAGGGCAAGTAGTCAGATTTCAAGTAGACCAAGTAGGGGGGAGTGGAGCTGACTGTGTAATCCGGATTAAAGGCTGAAGCAACTGGAAAGAGAGGCATAGACAAGAAATTCCAAGATTTCTCAGTCATCACTAGAAAAACTTCAGGAAAGTCATTTAATAGGCTCCAAGTTCCCCTACCCTTTTCTCCAGCAACTTTATCTGTAAACTAAATCTGTAAAATGACTTACTTTGTTCTAAAACATGAAGAAAATGATACATGGTAGAAACCTATCTCTTTCAAAAAATTAAAGGTGTTTGGCTTTTTCGTTGTCAATGAAATCTTTTAAATTAAATGTTAAACTTTCACAAATATCTTCCATAATTTAGTGGTTTCTATGCTAAATCAACTCATTATTTTTACTATTTTTACCAATTTTAGAATGCTTTAGTAAGTCTTAAAGAATTCTTATTTACAACCCTTTAATAAGTCTTATCTTTTTTCCCCAACAATAAGTCAAGACAGAATCATATGAGTGCCATGACAAGAGCAGACCAAATGCTAAGAGTCTGAGGAGGGGTAAAATAATTTATTGTTTTTAAAAATATACATTGAGCACCTAGTATGTGTCAAGCTCTGTTTTAGGGGCTTGGGCTATATAGTGAACAGAATAGATATTCCTGCTCTCATATATTACAATGAGTGGAGATATTCAGTAATAATAAGCACAACACACAGGTAAACTATGTAGGATGTTAAATGGTGATTAGTTCTATGGAAATAAAAGGAGTGGGAAAGAGAGAAAAGGTATTACCAAGTGTGTGCTGGGGGAGAAGAAGGGGTATCAGGTAGTATCTGTTTGTTTGTCTGAGATAGGATCTCACTCTGTTGCCCAGATTGCAGTGCAGTGGCAAGATCATGGCTCCCTGCAGCTTCAACCTCTTAGGCTCAAGCAATCCTCCTGAACAGCCTGGACTACAGGTGTCACCACATCTAGCTAATTTTAAAATATTTGAATGTTTATTGTAGAGATGGAGCCTTGCTATATTGCCCAGGCTGGTCTCAAACTCTTGGGCTCAAGTGATCCTCCTACCTCAGTGTCCCAAAGCGCTGGGAATATAGGCATGAGCCACGACACCCAGCCTCAGGTAGTATTAAACCAGTCATCAGAGTAGAACTTCATGGTTGAACAATAACATGTTGAACAATAACATGAAGACAGGGGAAGTTGCATAATCAAATATCTGGGTGAAGGAACTCCAGGCAGAGAAAACAGCTGCAATGAGGGTCCTGAGGCTTGTGTCAGTTACATCACAGAGGCCATGGCTGCTGACCCAGAGTGAGTGAAGGGGAACAGAGCAGGAAAGGGGCTCAACGGTGGGTGGAGGGTTTCGTAGAGCAGTATAAGAACTTGGACTTGTTTTCTGAGTACAAATGGAACCACTCAAGGATTTGTGCAAAGGAGTGATAGTCTTCTCCTGGAGAACTTGTAGAGTGTGGAAGTATAGAGGTAGAGGGGTCTGTTAGGAGAATAATTTGCTAATCCAGGCAGGAGGTGGTGGCTTGGACCATTATGAGCAGTGGAGATGGTGAGATGTGATTGGATTTAGGATATGTTTAGAAGATAAAGCCAACAAGGTTTTTCTAAGAGATCAAATGTGGGGTAGGAGAGAAAGAGAATTTATGAATAACTCTGGATTTATGCCTGAGTAACTGGAACGGTGCCAGGAGATATCTGATTCTTCAGTGTTCTGCTGTGCCCTCTGCAGAACATCAGTCCTGTTGCAGGCAGGTCCAGAGTCAGGTGTTAGGAGTGGGTCTGGTATTTGAGTGACAATGTCCACATCTCACCCAAAAGCACACAATCAATCCTCCTGCAGCAGGCAGGTAGGCAGGCACTATCACGGGAGGAAACTTAGTGGGAACAGGGCAGTAGGGAGGGACAGAGAAGCATCCTACACTTGAATTCTGGAATGACGCCTCTCACCATTACCCATCTTTCATGCTTTACCCAGGATTTCTCTTTGGTGAGTAAAGAGACAAATATGCACACACTCACTAGTCAGATTCAAGAGAGCCCAGAGGAGGATAAACTTCATGATGATGTCGAACACCCAGTTCAGCTCCAGGTTCTAGAAAACATGGAAGAGAGAGAAAAAGACTAAATAAAATAAAGCAAGATTCTAGAATTGGAAAAATATATCATCTGAATTCTTTTAGTAGCAAGATTCAGTTTTAGAAACAGTGTCCATCACTCAGAGGATGGTGTAGTGTCATCTTTCAGAGATATAAAAATAGAGGTTAAGTGATTGGTTCCCAGTACAGTAGAAAATAGTTCTGGAATTCAGAGTTCTGCCCTCTGTCTTCAGGGAAGAAAGTACCAAAGCTAAGAGAAGTTGAAGTTCACAATGTCTCTACAGCTGACTCCTGTGTGTTCTCCTTTTTGTCAGCCTCAGCAGGCAGGTGCCCCTGTAAGGTAAGTGTGGGCTGCTGCCCCTCCTGTCTGTGTGATGCTAAACCCCACTGTGTGATGCTATTTTTCTTTGGTAGACATAATGTAGCCCTCTGGAGCTGACATTGCTTCCTCTGTCTGACATTAAAGTCTGCTTTGAAATACATTAACCTTTTCCTTCATGTCACTCTTTATCCATTTTTTCTGTGAACCAACCTGCAAATTATTTATCTTATGTGTCTAACTTGTGCCAGGATCTGTGCTTGCTGTTGGGGTTGCCTCAATTTAAAGACTTCTTCCCTACCTTCCAAGAGCTTAGACACTAGTGGGAATACTTAAGCAGGTGGTTATGACACAAAGTATTCAGAGCTAAAAATTGAGGTATGCCATAGACTAGGTAAAAATATTTGCAAAACACATACCTGCTAAATAATTCATGTATAAGAGAATACAAAAATTCAACATTAAGAAAACAAGCAACACAACCTAAAAGTGGGCCAAAGATCCTTACCAAATGTTTTAGTCTGCTTGGACTACTATAAAAAAATAAAATAAATAAAAACTACATGCCTAGGTGTCTTACATGACAGATATTTAGTTACTGTAGTTCTAGAGGTGAGAAGTCCATGACCAAGGTGTTGAGGTGTTGTCTGGTGAGGCCTCTCTCCCCGGCTTGTAGATGATCACCTTCTTACTGTGTCTTCACATGGCCTTCCCTCTGTGCACACAGAGAGAAAGAGGGAAAGAGAGCTCTCTGGTGACTCTTTTTTGAGGGACACAAATCCTATTGGATCAGAGCCCCACCCTTCTAACATAATTTAGCCTTAATTACTTCCTTTTAGGCCCTATCTTCAATACAGTCACATTGAGGTTTAGGGCTTCAAACAGATATATTTTACAGTGATGGGGAAGATAACACCAGAGAATATATACAGATGGCAAATGACATATGAAAAAATTCTCAACATAATATGTCATTAGAGAATTACAACAACAATGGGATACCACTACGTACCCCGTAGAAGGGCTAAAATCCAAACACTGACGGCAACAGATATTAGCAAGGATATCAAGTATGAAGAACTGATGCTGGTGAGAATTTATTGCTGGTGTGAGTACGAAATGGAGTAGTCACTTTATAAAATAATTTGGAAGTTTCTTATAAAGCTCAACATAGGCTTACCATATGATACAGCAATTACACTTCTTGACACACCAAAAGATTTGAAAACTTATGTTCGCAAAAATTCTTCACATAGATGTTTATAGCAGTTTTGTTCATAATTGTCAAATCTTGGAAGCAACCACAGGGTCCTTCAATAGGGTAAATGGATAAACAAAGTGTGATTCATCCATTTAGCAAAATGCTATTTAGAGATTTTATGATTTAAAAAACTTAATTCTCAAATCATGAAAAGACATGGAGTAAACTTGTATGCACATTGCGAAGTGAAAACAGCTAGTCTGAAAATATACCATATAATTCCAATTATATGACATTCCAGAAAAGACAAAGCTATAGAGATACATGTGTGTGCAAGTACCTTTTTCATATAACAACTTATTTTCCTCTTGATAGATACCCAAGAGTGGGATTGCTGGATCGAATGGTAGATCCATTTTCAGTTCTTTAAGGAATCTCCATGCTGTTTTCCATAGTGCTTGTATTAGTTTACAATCCCACCAACAGTGTAAAAGTGTTCTCTTTTCACCACATCCATGCCAACTATTATTTTTTAATTTCTTTGATTACAGCCATTCTTACAGGAGTGAAGTGGTATCACATTGTGGTTTTGATTTGCATTTTCCTGATCATTAGTGATGTTAAACATTTTGTTCATATGTTTTTTTGGACAGTTGTATGTCTTTTTTAAAGAATTGTCTGTTCATATCCTTAGCCCACTTTTCGATGGGATTGTTTATTTTTTTCTTGCTGATTTGTTTGAGTACCTGTATTAGTCTTTTTTCAGATATATAGATTACAAAGCTTTTCTCAGGGTTGTCTGTTTACTCTGTTGATTATTTCTTTTGCTGTGCAGAAGCTTTTTAGTTTAATTAAGTACCGTCTATTTACCTTTGTTTTTGTTGCATTTGCTATCGGGTTTTTGGTCATAAAGTCTTTGCCTAAGCCAAAGTCTAGAAGGGTTTTTACTATGTTATCTTCTAGAAATGGTATGGTTTTAGGTCTTAGGTTTAAGTCTTTGATCTATCTTGAGTTGATTTTTGTATAGAGTGAGAGATGAGTCCAGTTTCATTCTTCTACATGTGGCTTGCCAATTATCCCAGCACCGTTTGTTGAATTGGGTGTCCTTTCCCACTTTATGTTTTTGTTTACTTTGTCAAAGATCAGTTAATTATAAGTATTTGACTTTATTTCTGGGTTATCTATTCTGTTCCATTGGGCTATATGACTATTTTCATACCAGGACCATTCTGTTTGGTGACGATGGCCTTATAGTATAGTTTGAAGTCAGGTAATATGATACCTCAGGATTTGTTTTTTTGTTTAGTCTTGCTTTGGCTATGCAGGCTCATTTTTGGTTCCATAGGAATTTTAGGATTATTTTTTCTAGTTCTGTGAAGAATGATGGTGGTGTTTTGGTGGGAATCACATTGAATTTGTAGATTGCTTTCGGCAGTATGGTCATTTTCACGATATTTATTCTACCCATCCATGAGCATGGAACGTGTTTTCTTTTGTTTGTGTCTTCTATGATTTCTTTTAGCAGTGTTTTGTAGTTTTCTTAGTAGAGGTATTTCACCTCCTTGGTTAAGTATATTTCTTTCTCTTTTTTTTTTGGCAGCTATTGTAAAAGGGATTGAGCTCTTGATTTTATTCTCAGCTTGGTTGCTGTTGGTGTGTAGCAGAGCTACTGATTTGTGTACATTAATTTTGTATCCTCAAACTTTGCTGAATTCATTTACCAGTTCTAGGAGCTTTTTGGATGAGTCTTTAGGGTTTTCTAGGTATATGATCATGTCATCAGCAAACTATGAGAGTTTGACTTTCTTATTACCAATTTGGGTGCCCTTTATTTCTTTCTCTTGTCTGATTGCTTGGGCTAGGACTTCCAGTACTGTTTTGAATAGAAGTGGTGAAAGTGGGCATCCTTGTCTTTTTCCAGTTCTTAGGAGGAATGCTTTCACCTTTTCCCCATTCAGTATAATGTTGGTTGTGGGCTTGTTATGGATGGCTTATATTACCTTAAGGTATGTCACTTCTGTGCCACATTTTGCTGATTCTTCTGAGGGTTTTAATCATAAAGAGATGCTAGATTTTGTCAAATGCTTTTTCTGCATCTATGGAGATGATCATGTGATTTCTGTTTTGATTCTTTTTATGTGGTGTACCACATTTGTTGACTTGCAGATGTCAAACCATCCCTGCATCCTTGGTATGAAACCCACTTGCTCATGGTGGATTATCTTTTTGATATGTTGTTGGATTCTGTTAGCTAGTATTTTGCTGAGGATTTTTGCATCTATATTCCTCAGGGATATTGGTCTGTAGTTTTCTTTTTTGTTATATCCTTTCCTGGTTTTGATATTAGGGTGATGCCAGCTTCATAGAATGATTTAGGGAGGATTCTCTTTTTGGAATAGTGTCACTATCTTTTGGAACAGTGTCAGAATTTGTGCCAATTTTTCTTTGAATGTCTGATAGAATTCATCTGTGAATCTGTTTGGTCCTGGACTTTTTTTTTGTTGGCAATTTTTAAATTACCATTTCAATCTTGCTGCTTGTTATTGGTTTGTTCAGAGTTTCTATTTCTTCCCTGTTTAATCCAGGAGGATTGTATATTTCCAGGAATTTATACATCTCCTCTAGGTTTTCTAGTTTGTGCATTTGAGGGTGTTCATAGTCTCCTTAAGTGATATTTTGTACTTCTGTGGTATCGGTTGTAATGTCTCCCACTTCTAATTGGGATTATCTGGATCTTCTCTTTTCTTTTCTCAGTTAATCTTGCTAATGGTCTATCAATTCTATTTATCTTTTCAAAAAACCAGGTTTTTGTTTCATTTATCTTTTGTATTTTCTTGTTGTTTCAATTTCATTTGATTTTTCTCTAATTTTGGTTATTTCTTTTCTTCTTCTGGGTTTGGGTTGTTCTTGTTTCTCTAGTTTCTTAAGATGTAACCTTAGATTGTCTGTTTTGCAATTTCAGACTTTTTGATGTAGGCATTTAATTCTATGAACTTTCCTCTTAGTACCTCTTTTGCTGTATCCCAGAGGTTTTGATAGGTTGTATCACTATTATTCAGTTCAAAGAATTTTTAAATTTTGCTCTTGATTTTGTTGTTGACACAGTGATTATTCAGGAGCAGTTTATTTAATTTCCATGTATTTGCATGGTTTTGGGGGTTCCTTTTGGAGTTGATTTCCAATTGTATTCCACTGTGGTCTGAAAGAGTACTTGATAGAATTTCAATATCCTTAAATTTGTTGAGATTTGTTGTGTAGCCTATCATATAGTCTATCTTGGAGACAGTTCTATGTGCTGATGAAAAGAATACATATTCTGCAGTTGTTTGATAGAATGTTCTGTAAATATATGTTAAGTCCATTTTTTCTTGGTTATAGTTTTAAGTCCATTTTTTGGTTGTTGTTGACTTTCTCTCTTGATGACGTGTCTATTGGTGTCAGTGGAGTATTGAAGTCCTCCACTATTATTGTGCTGCTGTCTATCTCATTTCTCAGGTCTAGTAGTAAATGTTTTATAAATTTGGAAGCTCCATTGTTAGTTGCATATATATTTAGGATTGTCATATATTCCTGTTTGGCTAGTCCTTTTATTGTTGTATAATATCACACTTTGCCTTTTTAAACTGCTGTTGCTTTAAAGTTCGTTTTGTCTGATATAAGAATAGCTACTCCTGCTCAATTTTTGTGTCCATTTGCATGGAATACCTTTTTCTACCCCTTTACTTTAAGTTTATGTGAGTCCTTATGTGTTTGGTGAGTCTCTTGAAGACAGCAGATACTTTGGTGAGTTCTTCTTATCCATTCTGCCATTCTGTATTTACATTCAATGTTAGTATTGTGA